AACCAACCAAGATGACTTACGGAACATACCCTTAAATCTGGTGTGTCTAAATTTAAATATATTTTTTATAAGTATGTTTTTAAATCACAATGTTAAAACGTTTTTTAATAAATCATTAGTTTACAAATTTTTACAAGGTCTAATTAGTGATCTAGCGATTTCAGGTTTTTATTTTTTTTTCAAGTTTTTTCAGGTATTTATTCTTTTATAAATATTTTGAAAGTTTGAAAATTTGTATTTTATTAGTAATAATAATAAGTAATTAGTGCGAAAGATTTTATGCTATGGCGGGTCGGGCGCTCACAAATATTCAATTAACAAATATGGTTTTGTGTTACGGGGAAGCGATGCAAAATGCTCGTCAAGCAATTTGTAGGTATATTCAAAATTATCACAACGCCAATGAAGGACATCCACCGCCTTTGGAGCAAAGTAAGTTTTGTACGTGCTGTGCAAAATTTAAGGAACCGCGGAAGATTTAGCGCAATTGTTGGTGATAGGGGTCGGGCTCAGGGACGTGAATTTGTGGCCCTTGAAGAGCAAATTTTGGACGAAGTGGAAGCAAATCCAAGAATTAGTACAAGACGATTAACTGCCCAACTTGGACAAATGTCCAACTTTGTTACGTGGCGAACGATTCACGAAAATAGTTTGTACCCCTATCACCTACAAAAAGTTCAAGCTCTTCAGGATGGAGATTATGCACTGCGGTTGGAATTTTGCCATTGGTATATACAGAAAAATCAAGAAGACGCTGATTTTTAATTTTACATTTGGCAACACTGCATTAAAAAGTAATAGGTAGGATTAATTCGCGGTTCCTAGTCGATCAGTGGCGTACTTTTTGGTAGGATAAAGGTTATTATAAGTTATTTTTAGTCTTTGGAATTTAGAAAAAAAAAGTTTCAGGTGCTTCTTTATGGACCCTAAGGAACTACCCATTTTAATATATAACATTAATTACATAACACCCTGTATATACAGGGTGTCCCAGAACTCGCGCCACATAGAAAAACGGAACGTGCCGAAAGTAACGTGAAACACATATTTGAAAATTAAAATTGTCTAACGCAAAGGATAAGCGAGATAAGAATAAAAAACGATAGCCAATCCCAATAGATGGCCTTAGGGAATTCTTTAAATTGCTAGGATACTTAGGTTGCATTTTTGATAATAAAAAATATGTAAAATATTTGGTCCACTGGAATCCAATTCATTGTGACACTGCTGTCAAACTCCTGTCATTAATATTATATTAGGTTATAAATTAAGTTATTATAAATAATGCTTTCCTTAGATGATTATACTGAAATGATAATTATTTATTTATTTAGTGTGGGCGCAACGCCAGGGAGACAACGCGAGTTTTTTCCCAGCCCTTTCCTAATCGTTATTTTAAAACATTGGCGTTTTGAAGTATAAGTCATAGATTAATAACCTCATTTTTGAAAGCTTTTGACAACTTAGTAAATACAGTTGGCCAAAAGATTTTTAAATGTTTTTAATACAACAATGTTCTATCGTCTCCTAGCAATTTTTTAAGCTCCTACGTTTAACCTAGGCTGCCGCTTTTTTGCTCTCATTCGATTACACTATTACCTAGAAATTTTTTATTTTTAAATTTGGCATCTCCATTGCTATCGGCACGCCTCTGTGGCGCGAGTTCTGGGACACCCTATATATATATATATATATAATAAAATAAACAAAACAAGAGGTTTTGCATTGCTTGTATTTGCACCAGCTGTATAAAAGTTTAATATTAGGTGCGTCGGTACATCGGTAAAATTTGCAAATGTGCGCGTTCTTTTTGCTTCACTCACCATGAAGTGAGCTGAGATTTTTTTCTCCCCTCTCACCGATACTGCACATGCTGTGCGGGGAAATCAGTTTGAATTAAGTCGGAAATAAAGTGGAGGGGATAAATTATTGATTTCTTGTTTTTAAATAACATAACCTAATCTTATTTAGGTGATTTTTTGCAATAAAACTTAAATTTCCATAAAAAAAATTAAATTTTGAAAATTAGCTATAAACTTGATATAATAATAATTAGAATTCGAATAAAATTGCTTTTCAGAACGAGAAAACACTTTTTAAAATATAAATGAACAAAGAAAGTGAAAGTGAAGATTTTTTTTATAATTTTTATTTCATATCATAAAATTAATATTCTTATCAAAAAATTGTTGTTTTTGTTTGTCACCTTCATCGTCTTCATCAAATAAAACTTATTATTATTTTTGTATTATCCATAATTCAACGCAAATTTAAACATAGAAAACCACGAAATTTAAACCAATAAAGATATAACACAGAACATAATGATAGCAGAGATAGGTTATGTTGCGCGTTTCAATTGAGTGTGTCGTTCTTTTTAATGCTTACTCACATCAGTACATCTCATATCACATTAACTGAAGTGAGCTGAGATCTCAGGCGAAAAGAACGCACCTATTGTGTAGGACCAAGCCAGGGCTCGCCTTAATGCTATTACCCTGTTTTGTAGACTCATGATAAAATTATTAACAAAGTCTTAAGGTATGTTTTTGCCAGATTGCTTGCAACTCATTGGCCATGTATAATACAGGATGTATTGCAATGTTTGGGGAGGTTGTTGAAGCCGATTGAATTGCCTGGAAATTTTGGCCCAAATTAAATTAAAATCTTGATAAATGTTTAAAGGACTAAAAGTTAATATTTTTAATGTAAACTATCTAAATACATTTGAGCCATTTTCTTATCTTTTTTTTGGCGCCATTTTGCTCCCAATGGATCATCCCTCAATTTTGTAAAGGCAAGAATATAAAAAATATTAGGTTTAGCAAATTTTTAATAATAAATAAGTAATAGGCTATAACTTAAAAAAAATTTGGACAATAATTTTCCTATCTAGGCACAAACTCCGTTTGGCGCCAAATATGTTAAAATTTAGAAAGTAACAACATGTTTTTAGGGTATATTAACACGGTAAGCGTAGGTACTTATAAAATCGTTAAATAATTAATAAGTTTTATCGAACCACGTCTAGTATTAGCCTTACGATTCTAAAAATAATCTTGACATTAAACAGTTTATTATTATAATTCCTTTGAGAAGTAGGTAAATAATAATTATGTGCGCACGCTGTATGTGTCATACAACTTACAGAACATACAATTTTTAACCGCTTTCAAGGTGACAAAAAAACTCAATAATTACGTGCATTTACATATAGAACATTGTCACGAAAACGGCATTATGAAAATTTTATAATAATATAAAAAACACGGACACGGATTAAGCGATATTTTTATTATACCTCTTAGAATTATTTTCTGATTTTCCTATTTATTAACAAGATCAAAGATTAAAATAGTCCCCTTCTGTAGTATTCTCGGTTGAAACTATACTCTATGGTTAAAACCATGAAAACCACAGATTATAAAGGTTATGAAAACCGTTAAGTCAGATGAAAACATAGACATAATAACCAGTGTTGCCGGATACCCACCCCAACCTCACCAATTACCCGCTTATACTAGATTTTATCCGCTCATCAAAATAAAAATTCCCAAATATTTACCCGCACATAAAGTGTAATTAGCAAGTCGTAAATGTAAATAAACTAAGATTAGTTTTTTATTTAAGGTCAATTACACAAATAAACTTTATTTAAATTAATGAAAAAACAAAACAAACATGTGAAAATAAACAACAAATACATACAAACAAACGATTGTTTTATTTTTGTTTACGATTTTTTTCTATTTTTTTTCCAATTTGTAACATTTCATTATTATTATTTAAAATAACGCGAGTTTTCTCAACCCCTTTTTTGTGTGCAACAATGATTTCACTGTTTGTTTCTGCTATCAGTTTTAATAATACTTAACGTACTAAAACTTCTCTCCACAAACACATTGAAAAATAGCAAAACTAATAAAAAATTAATAAAAATTTCTAAATTTACAAAAATAGGCAAACCAGCGGCATTGTGAAACTTCAGAACGTGTTTTCAGTATTACTCTGCTGGTTTTGTGGCGTCCATTCCCATTTTCTTAAAATCCAGCATGGCATGTTGACGCCATTTATGGTCTAGATTTTGGCAATCCAAATACTTTTTTAAAATTGGAACTTTTATAAGAGACTTTATTTGATATATCATCTTATGGAAATCTAAATCCAGAAGATTTAGGTACAAAAATCAATACCTCATTTACAACATTAAATTTAAAATTAAAAAAAATAGGTCTGTAATCCCCGATTCCCCGTTTTACCCGCATCAATATTTTACCCGGCCACAGGTCTTAATTTCCCGCTTTTCGGGGAATTTTCCGCCCAACGGCAACACTGATAATAACATAAGGCGATTTCGGAAACCTACAGGGGTACTTACCCGGGTCCCAAAAGTCACGTGACCAGAACTCGAAGGTTATTTACTCGATCACTTTAGTAAGGGAAAAGCACGGGTTACAAAATAAAACCGCCTAAATAAAATATTTAAATTTAAATTAGTGTAAACAAAAGATAAATTTGGTAGCTACTACACTGAGCAATAAAAATAACCACGTAGTGATAAAGCAAAATATCAATAAAATTTTAAGGCTATAGCCTTAAAATTTTATTGATATTTATAAATGAGAATTACCCAATCAAACCAATATAGCCTTAAAATTTTATTGATATTTATAAATGAGAATTACTCAATCAAACCAATTCAAGTCAATTATGTTCTCCAATTAATACCAATTCACCAGATTCAAACCTTTAAAACCAATACATTCCAACATTAATTCCCATTGATTTCTATTGTTCTTAAAGGGTCATTCCACACAGCCGTATTAAAGTGTGCCGACAGGAAACCAAAAAATTACGTCTATTAAGGTGATACCAAGTTTGTTTAGTGTGTGAGAGAATGGCGCCGATTGATAAAACTTTTGAAGTTTTTCCTTCTACATAATCTTTAAATTTGCTGAAATTATTTAGACAAACAAATTTGAAAAATATATTTTTTTTAGTCGTTGAAGCCGGCGACAACATCTCAGATTGTCTGGACGAGCGGACGTTAATTATCGCCAATCACCAGTCGACGGCCGATGTGCCGTTGCTGATGGCGACGTTCAACGCGAAAAAGCAAGTTTTGCCAAACATTATGTGGATCATGGACAGCCTGTTTAAGTACACCAACTTCGGCGTCGTCAGCGTGCTGCATCAGGACTTTTTCATCATGTCCGTAAGTGCAGGCTTTGTTTCAAGTGATTTTTTGTTATTAAAATATGAAGGATTGGGGGGGGGGGGGTCCATAATAACTCCAAATTGAGTTGTGCTCATCTCCCACTCCTAGTGTAGGCGCTGCAGTAATTGCGTGGTGTCTTTGTGCGCATAGTTCCTTGATTAAGGATTTTTAGTAATACATACAAAATATTTTATATATTTTAATTTTTTTAGGGCAAAGGTAAAAGAGAACGTTCTCTGCAAGACCTGATAGACCACATGTTGAACGTATACCTGCCTCGTGGCAGAAAATGGCTAGTCCTGTTTCCAGAGGGCGGATTTTTACGCAAACGAAAAGCCGTTTCGCAAAAATTCGCCATAAAAAATAACTTACCTCGACTGGAAAACGTCACAATACCACGCGTGGGGGCGCTGCACATCATCATGGAGACTGTGGGGCCCAAATCTACGCACAACAACAACAGCTTCGTGGGAGGTAAGTTAAAAAATCTATTTAATAAAAAAATCAACAATATAATTATTAATTATAATAATTAGTAATAAAATTAAAAAAATAATAATCACTTTCATAAATGACCATAATGTGACCATTTTTAAATTTCGCGGGCATATAAGGGAATTTGGCTTGAATCACAGATCATAAATACTAACACTCAAAAGATTAAACGCACAAAACGTTCTGTTCCGTGTGTTCTATGCGTTCTGTAGTTATAAAAACGTGTTTTGTTTTAATTTTAATTAAGGCTTAATAACAAGTCATTATCAAAAATATATGTATAAATTTTAAATTACAATTCCAATGTTACCTTTGTTATTAAAAATGTTACATAACACCTTTATCCACTCATGTCTCAAATATAATTTCTGTAATTTTAGAATAAATAAGTATATTAGTTAAAAGCATAGAAACAACAAAAAAGGATGGTATTCCATGAAAGTTTGAACGCTGTAAACGTTGAGTGAAGAGTAGGGAAGAGGCGCGGCGTAACGTATTTAAAATAACTCCTAAATCCAATATGAAAACTAGAGGCGCTGTGGTTAATTTTAATATGAGATTTCGAGTCAAAGTTGGAGTTAGACCGTTAGAGTAAAGACAGTTAAAAACGCGTCTTTATCCGGATGTCCACTTCCTACGCTGGCAAGTTGCCGCCGCATGCATCGTTATGTGAAGGTCGGCTAGAATTTAGTTTGCTTACTACCATAGATAAAAAAGCAACTACTCAAGTAGGTTATTCTACGTAATACGTTAGCAGAAATTCTTTAGCATAAATAGATAATTTACGGACAAATACTTGTTTGTATAACAAATATTTTTTAAAAAGAAGCCAAACCAGCTATGTATTGTTCCAATTTCCAATAAAAGAGACCGAACGGTGTGAAATTTTGAAGAAAAATTACAAAAATCCACTATTGGATTTAGATTATAATGACATTCTTATTACAAGCAAACGAAAATTTTTAGCAAAACTGCTGTACCCCTTTGTTGTACCCTAACGCATTAAACAATTAATTTTTCAATATGCGGTGCTTTAAAACGCTTTAAATACTGCAAAAATTATCTCAATGTTCGAGTATTTGAAAATATTTGGAAATTATTCTTTAGTTAAAGAGAGTTGGCATACCCTACAAATTTTATTATGATATGAGAATTTTTGTGGGTCTTATGGAAGTATATGAAGTATGAAGTTTGTAAGCGTTCACACCCCCCCCAGCAAAGAATCTGTAAAAAGTTACACCCCAAGTGATAAATGAAATATAACACCACGGCAAATGTTATATTAAATTACGACAAATAAATAAAATAAATACTTACGGTAATAAAGCTCATTAATTTAGTAACCCAAGGTACTTGTGAGGTGTTGTATTCATGGGGAAAGTGTTTAAAAAGGGAAATAAAAATACAGTAAATAAAAGGCACTAAGTTACGTTTGAACTCAGGTCAAAAACCCGGAAGGCTCCCGTTTATTTTTTTATTAAGTATCGCTCATAAAACCTTCCAAAATGAGGGATTATGGGAGTGAGTTTCACGTATAAAATATTTACAATTTATTACAAACAATAATGATATTTATTTGGATAGAGCAACAAAAATAACCGCAACCCAAACGACATTTAACTTAGTGAACTCTGAAAGAAAAGGACCTCCTACAACCTCTTAAAACCACACAATATCTCCTTACTGCGACTACAACCCAAATATAAATAAATATATAAATAACATTAGATAAATAATACATCATAGTAGAGCTTTGCTCTTGTTTTTCATTTTTAATTTTTTTTATCTTCGCTTTTTGCTGATTTGTTTGTTTATTTTCATTTTTAATTTTTATCTTCGCTTTTTGCTGATTTGTTTGTTTATTTGTTTGTTTGTTTGGTGAAAGTAGATTGAGCCTTAGTCTCTAATTTTGTATTTTCAATTTAACTTTATTCATCAAGCATTCCGTCTGCAATAGGCCTCCATCATCCAAATAAAGTTTTTATAATATTATTTACTGTTGAATTTAAGTTTACTGTTACACAAATTTTCATGTAATATTTATTAGAGTTCAGGCTCAATAAACTGTTGGAAAAGGAGTAAATAATTATCAGGCTCGACTCGGGCTTCAGCTGAGGGTTCGGAATTGTCTATTTTGCCTCATTTGTCGGCAAACTTTAATAAATTAATAATTAAGTACCATAAAATACTAGGTAATCAAAATGACACAAATAACAATGACAAAGTCTACGTCACCAGTCAGATGAAATCAAACCGCTCGGCACCTAATAAAATTTACAGGATAGTAATTCAAAATGGGCTCGTTGTGTCATGGACTCCACGGACAGTGGGGATAAATCAAATGTCGCTATCGTACAATTACTGTTGTCACTCACTACAAATGTAATACCAAATATTTAAATATGACTGGTAAAATTACTAGTTACGTGACATAAATGAGAATCTGCGAGTACAATTTTATAAATCCCGTATTTAAGAAAATCGATAATTAATACACTTAATTTACACAGCGTTTATAGAAAATCCCCTTTTGAAATATTTATTTAAATTAATTAAATAATCCTAAGTACCGTCCTGACATTTAGCTTAATTAAATCGAATACGGTCCTGCCTATTTTAATTGGATAAAATCCCCGTAAAGCCATGCCTTTTTTAATTTGATAATTAGTCGTTAAAAATCCCTGCCTTTTATTAGATAAAATACACGTACCAATTGTTTATAACTTAGAATATAAATTATAATACGAAATACCTAATTTTCAACGTAAATTTTACAGCGTGGTTTGTTTTAAACGGAAGCCATTACAGCGTAATAGATCGAACTATGACGCCAAGTCAATTGATCGATTATTTATCTTTACACAAGGTGTTTGTGTAAACTAATTATACCAAAATGCTCAGGAATATTTATACTACAATAATTTAGTTATTTAAATGTACAAACCTACAAATTACAACACTTTTCTGCACACACAATTTTTAAAACCCTGGTCGCTGCTCGGCTCGGCTCCAAATTGGAGCCTCCAATGCTCGAATGAATGTTCTCCCCTGCCCGTCACTTGCGTCTAGCATTCTTTTCCCCTACCTTTCCCCACTTAATCAGGAGAGTTTTTCTAACCAATGGCACGCTACCTTTTATATGTCACTTGTATTTCCGTTGCGCTAAATTTAAATGTTAGTTTTATTTACATGGCTTTTTGAATGCATTTATTTTAAACAATTAGGATCGTAATAACCCACGGATTGTTTATTAGGGGGGGTATTTGCAGATCTCCTCAAGTTAAATTCATGGAAGTAATAATAATAATCTTTATCTTCAAGCGTTCTATAATTTAAGCTTTATTATTGTCAACGATCACTACCAAAGTATTCAATTAAATCCTATATCTCGTAAATTATATTAGCCTATAGGCTAATATAACTTAGACCAATCAGGTGAAGTTTTATACATCCTGGTCTGTACACAAACTGTAAGGACCAATAAAAAAAATCGATAACAACTGACAGCTCTAAGCTATGTAACCGCACTTTATTAAAACTATAATTTTTATGTATAAAAGTAGGTTTTATGTATCGTTATGCCATTCGGCTGAGACGTGTCTTTTTGTGCTTCGCTCAATTGTAATCCTCCGCTAACGCTTTTAACTTTAAGCCCATCACAAAAAGACTCACTTCTCAGCCTTTTGACATAAATAACTATTATTTGTTTCAAAAAACGTTTGACGCGTTGGGCGGCAATATGTTAAAATACACCAATTTTGAGGGTACACTAACAACACAAAAAACTAAACGCAATAAACAAGAGTAATTGTTGTATCTTTTTCAGATGATTATCTCAAAACCTCTAAAGTGGAGTACATATTAGATATTACCATAGCATATCCAGATGGGAAGCCTTTGGGTATGGACACCATAGTTTTTGGTTACCGGCGCCCATGTCAAACGATGTTTTTCTACAGGGTGTACAACGCGAAGGATGTGCCCGATAATAGTCAAGCTTTGGACGAGTGGTTGTTGGCGCGATGGTTGGATAAGGAAAAAATGCTAGAGAGTTTTTACAAAACCGGAAAATTTCCCATTAATTACAGCAAAGGCGCCAATCCCCCACAAGTGGTGGTCCAAGATTACCTGCGATTTCTTATAATCCATATATTTTTCATCGCCTCGACTTACATACATTTTCAGATGTTCACCTCAATTTACCAATACTGCACCCAATTAGTTTATTAGCGCACAGTGCTCGCATATCTTGTTTGTTTAATACGATATTATCTCTAAATTTAAATTAAACAAATGAAAAATGCGGGAAATATAAAAAATGTACAGACATATTAAAGAGTGCATGCACAGGGCAAGTGTACAGTGGCAGCTCAAGACAGATAGGTTTAAGTTCCTCTGTTTCCAGTTACAAAGGATTTTAGAAAAAATATACTGGGGTTTAACAGAGCGTATTTTTTTCAGTATACCCTATAAATCTCAACAAAATCCGATATTATTTGCAGAAGTTGTTTTAAACTTTACCTTATATTTCTTAAATTTTTATACCCCCATAACACCCACAAAAAAACCCACATCATAATAAAGTTTTTTTTTTAACAAATAAAGATTATTATTATTACCTTATATTTAAAATATATGGATTTTAATCAGTAATTATTGATTTTAATCAGTAATTATTGATTTTAATCAAATTTCAACGTAAAACTAGTTTTGTGGTGAATTTTGAAATTTAGTGTGTTTATCAATAATTATGGATTTTGATCATTTAAAAAATCATTCTCAAAACTCTTAAAACAAATTTTGTGATGAATTTTGAAATTATATGAATTTTTATAAATTATGGATTTTAATCATTAAATATATGCACAATTTATGCACAAAACAAATTTTCTTATGATTTTTAAAATTTCATGTTTTTTGATCAGTAACATAAGCTTGTTTTTTTATTAACAATGTTTAAAACAATTTGTAATGATTTTATAAGGATTTTGATCATGTTAATTAACTTATTTGGCTATCCAGGATAACACCCACAAAAATACAATTTTTAGGGTACACCAACAAAAACGCGCTCTCTTTAACACTACTATAACTTTTTCTCCAAAATTCGTGTAATTTTCTACAATACAATCCGCACAAAACATGCCATTTCCACATATCCGAACTTTTTGTATTTTTTATATATGTATTTAAATAGCGAGCCGCCACTGTATTTGTTTTAGTTAATTTACAATGACCAAAAATTCACAAGTTTGCTGTTGTTACATAATTAAAGGAAAAAAGTGATTACTGCCTCTTGAAGAGGGACAGTTTATAAATATTTAAAAAAGGCTCACTTTGTGTGATTTTTAAAAGTGTAAGGCCTAAAACCGATAGTTTTGTACATAGAATTAATGATTAAGACAAACTGTATTTTGATAATGTTTTATTACAATACAATACCACAAAATAAATGCATTTGTTGAAAACACTTCATTTTTAATCTAAGTAGACCATACCAAGTAGCAAAGCTCTCAAACGGAATAGTTAAATTTTTAACATACACTTTTTGTGATTTTAATGTATGTATTGGACAACAACAAAAAAAGTTTTTTATAGTTTTTACTACAATATAAAATCATTGTAAATTAAACTTAAGCTCCTAACAATTATGTTATTTGTAAACAATTGCTATCTAATTGGTAAGTCTAAAAAAAATCAAGTCAGTAGACGTAAAACTGACAGTAGTAGTGACAGTTCTTGCACATAACCCCTCCGGGTGTTTTTGACACATAACCTATAAAATCATCATCTAGACGACTTGACAACACGGCACATTTCAAACAATAAAAAGCATAGAATTTTTACATTTTTTTGAAATATCTCGGTAATGGTAAGTGCAATTGTCATTCTAATTGGACAGAAATGTTTAAATTCCAAAACTAAAACGATAAAAAGTATATTTTGCTACTTGGTATCGGCAACACCGCGCGTTGTAAAGCTTTATTAACACCTTTACAGGACAAAATAGGGCGATTTTTATGACATTCTTTCTAGTCTGTATTATTTTATTGATTTTTTTTTAAAGGGCTTCTGAAATTCTTTATTATGATTAAATATTGTTGTGATTAATTTTTTATTAAGCGTGATTTGATGAACTTTTTGAGTTAATTAATTTTTTTATTTTTTGTTTTATTGAAATATGGTAAAAACTACACAGGGGGTTTTGTGTGAAGTCGACTGAAAAAATCTTGGATTTGTGTAGTTTTTGTATTTGTCAAATAAAATTGATGTCTTTAATAAAAATGGCGTTTTAGTTAAAAAAAAGAATAGTTACCCAAATTTTATACAGAACTTGACCAACATGCGTATTTAACTAAATTAAACCATTATTATTGATCATTTAGAACTTTTAATTTGAAAAAAAGGATCTAATCAAATTGGATAGAGGAAAACGGCGTAAATGTTTTTGTGATTGATATAACTACAGGGTAAAACACTGCTATTTCTAGGATATTAATGAGTGAGTCATTTGAAACAACTGTTGATTAATCTATGTACTTTTTTTCTAACTATTCTGAAATAAAAAAATATCAAATTTAAATACAGCATGAATCAGATAGCGTATCCGCTACGTAGTCACGTATACGCTACGTAGTCACATATACGCTACGTAGTCACATATACGCTACGTAGTCACGTATACGCTACTTAGTCGCATATTTAAATCTTTTTTTATAGTTAACAAGATTATATTCAGGATCCTCGAGCTTTAACTTCGCAAGAGAATCTATGCACTTTTTTTCTAACTATTCTGAAATAAAAAAATATAACAAATATAAATAGCGTATCCGCTACGTTGTCACGTATACGCTACGTAGTCACATATTTAAATCTTTTTAAGAAGATTATATTCAGGATCCTCGAGCTTTAACTTCGCAGGAGAATAGATAGGAAACGCGTCGCTTAAAAGCGGGATAAAATAGTGGAAGTGTACAATATTGTACACTTCCACTATTTTATCCCAAATAGCACAAAGAAGTACTAAAAACGTCCTGAGTATATCTTGTATCAGACATTAGTAAGTTCCGAGTACGTCCGAATCAGGTCCTGAACCTTCCCCAGGATGTACCAGGGACATCCGATGTTACCAAATCGTCGGTCTCCAGAACGTCCTAAGTAAGACATTCTCTGGCCGTCCTGAAATGCTTTATTGGACAAGCTTTACAGAATTGAAGAGTGGTATTCCCAAAGGCCCAGACAGCAATATGACGTCTTAATTAAGTCTTATTTTATTAATTTATTAAATGGATTTTATTAAAATCATTTTAATAATTTGCTCGTATTAGTTTATTTTAGGAATTGCGATTACTTCGTCTCACTTTTGTTTAAATGTAAGCGTGCTCTTCACCGGCACCGATAGACGGCCTGTTTCCCTCTTTTGGAGCTCGTCAGTATCGGGTAGCCGTTTACCTAGGTCTAAGACCGTTTGGTATGAAGCACGTGCTTCATACCAAACGGTCTTAGACCTAGGTACGCTCTAAATTCTACTTCGCCGCTTCTTATATCAAACACAAACAGTTACAGCGGTGAGAAGAAAGAATCGCATTAAAATGTTTAAAGAGTTAATAATATGATTTCAGTAAGAAGTAAGAAAAGAGAATACTGAAAGATATCATATAACTAAAGTCTTATTTATGATACCTACCCTTAGTAGCTTCTAATTTTGATTTCAATAAGAGGTCAGAAAAAAAGATACCTTAAGATGTTAAAAAATTTACTTCTTATTTATGAACTCATCAAGAACTCCTAATCTTGAGCTCCTAAAAATGATTTCTCTAAGATGTCATATTGTGACCTAAGTAAGATGTTTTTCAACAGACTTCGTACAGAAATCTTTCTAAATTGGATGCTGTCTGGGGGGTCTAAGTTACAAACATAAAATTGTGAGTTATCAATGAAAAACAAATATTTTGCACATGTAAATGTTGAAATGTTTGAAACAGGTTTGGAATTACATATTCCGCTCTCCTGAAACCGTCAAACTCGCCTTCGGCTCGTGTGACAAACTCTTCACTCGAGCGGATATGCTGTATTTCAAACTTCTTACAGAATATACTATTAAGTCATTCTGCATGACACAAACTATTTTTAAATGATAATATATTATTTAACCAACTTGGCACTTAGACCCTTTGGAAATACAATGCTTCAATTACGTCCTTGGGACGTACCCAGTATATCCGCTATAATTTTCCCAAATAAGTAAGAGACTGGACGTACCCAAAACTTCCGATATAGGTCTAGGACGTTCGGACCTATGTGGGACCCAAAATGGACGTCCTGGGTACCTCTTGTGCTATCTGGGATATGCGCACAATTAATCAACCGACTGACTGCACGTGCACGCATTGGTTGGAAGATTGAGAACAGAGATAAAGAAGGATGATTGACAGCCACTTTATAGGCTTTATTTAAATTTTTAAATTATTAATTGAGGAAATCACTATGGGATTTATGTGTTGTATTAAAAATTATTTTAATTTGTCAAGGGACGACAAACCTGCACATCGCTTATTTGAAATATCATCAGTAAGTTTATAACGAAACATTACAGTTTAATTATTAAATCAAGGAACTTGCAATCGACTGATTTTACATTGCAAAGTTCAGTCATTTTATACGTAAATAACATTATTACAGTTTATGTTTTCTGCTCCAACGACAGTATTACTTATTAGTTCATAAATTTACTTACTGTTTTAACAAACTGTTCTGTTTATATAAAGTATTATAATATAATTATATTAAATCTTATTAACGAAATTGGTAAAGGTAAACATTGGTTTGACGGTTTACAGATGCATAAAATAATAGAGGTTAAAAAAGAACTTTATTTATCTCTGCAAAGGATAGCAGGGGAGATGTGCAGAACTCAATTTTCCGTTATCGGTCATGGTACACGTGCGAATTTCTCATGGACCTCCCACTTGAATTTATATGGAGTTGAAGCTTCTAAATTTAATCTTAGTTCTAGTTAAATTTAAGGGAGTCGAACCACCCCAGTAAGCACAAGCTAGCCGGCCCGCATACGGCCCGAATACGTTTTGCAGAATCGGCCGCGTGCGGCCCGACACACGCATTTCTTCCGGCGTGTAGAACGGGCATGTCCGCCTGGCCAACTGTCGGGCATATCCGCCTGGCCGAATGTCGGCTATGTTTACTCGGCCGAGTGTCGGCTTTGTATAGTTGGCCAAGTGCCGGCCACAACCGCTTGGCCATTCAAAAAAGTCTACAGACGCGTCTAGACGTCCTGGAGAGGTATATTCTATAAGTCCTGAAATTCTCTGAATGGCAAGATACTTCTTTAACACATTCGACTAGCTAGACATTACTTATTACTAAGATCCCGGGATTGGGACTTTCAATCCCAGGATTTTCGGGATCGGATTTTTAACGGGATCCCGGGATATATATATATATGAACAAACACTTTATCATGAAAAAACGCAGTGTCAGGGTCGCACCCGTTATAATTATCCATTAATGGAAATACCCTTAGGGAGGTGTTGCACTATATTTTTATTGATATTATTTATTAAGTACGCATGTATATAATAATATAAATAAAGTATTTTTGTACCCAAAACT